ATTATATACTATTTGCCACTGTTACTGCTTTTCCTCTGCTCACACAAGAGCAGAAAAACCATCGACTGCAACTGCTAGTAATGAGCAAGAGCAATTTGASATCTCAGCAGGGGTTTCTAAAAACCTCTGCAGAACACACTGAACTTAAGACTTTCACAGCTAAAGATGAAATGGTATTAAAAAAAAACTTTATTAAATCATTAAACTATTTTAGTAAAACTCATTGCAAACTGACTGAAAATTTGAAGTTATTTTTTCAGGTTTATTTCAGCTCCAGATGCACGTTTCTGAAAATTTCCTTTAAAAAGTACCAATACGTACAACCACACAATGAACTTTAAGCACATTAAATCACCAAGTTGTTTAACAAAAAAGTAACAGAAAACAGTGTACTTATCAAAAAATGAATTAGATTTTGTCTAAACATCCTWAAATTGGCCTCTGTGTCTTTAAGAACCTCCTACCGTTTCTGACACTCCCACTTCWGCAKGTTTTCAAACAATGCTTCGGGGTAGGGGTGCTCTGTGGGGCAGGAGCTCGGCTGCAGACTGAGCTCCAGGGAGGAGCTTTGTATAAATGGGTGGAGCTTTGTACCAGTAAGCATTTAGCTCCTCACGGCTACAGGAGATTCAAGGATTTCTCAAACATACATGAATGAGTCAAAACAACACTCTGGGGATGTTTTTGATGAAAAAAAAAAAAAGACTTTATAACATGATAGAAAACTCAAAAAAGTTGATTAAAAACCAAAAGCTCCTCTCTTCAGAGGGATGTGACTGATTGGCTGTGACCAACGTAAGTTGCTGTTTTTTTTTGATTCCCATTAAAATAYGAAATTAAAAACTACATTCTCCTCATTTTGACTTTCATATTTTTKATTTTTCCGCTCCATAAAACACTCACTTCTGAATGTGCTGCTCTCCTTTCTGCTCAGTTAGACGCCGCTTGGCCTCCTCGTTCAGATGACTGGCCAACTCCTTCTGGTGAGCYCGCCTCTTCTCCTCCGCCGTCATCTCGTTCTAAACACGATTCGCAGAACAAAAAACGTTAAGAAACAAACACAAGACGAAAACTATTCTTTTAAGGATGATAAATACAACATACATGCAAAACAACAAACAGGTTTTGATGGTGAAAGAAAAATCCATAGGCACAAAAAGAGAAGTATAAAATTAAAAAGCACTCAAAATGRCCTTTCCCATCAGCAGGGAGCTTTTAGATCAGTTCGGCTGATGAGATTTTAGAAAAATCATTGAATACTTACCTTCCCAAGTAGCTGATGGAGTACAAAGACATTCACACGCTTAGTAATACACACCATCAAGACAGAGGCAACACTAAAYGACAAAAAGCAACGACACGGCAACACTTACTCTGGTTCTGTCTGCCAGCAGGGCGGCGCTGCGAGCTCCTTTCCCCAGCAGCTCCTCCGCATCGTCKCCATCCTCCTCCTCGTCTTCCTCGTCGTCGTTCTGAAAGAGGAAAACATCCGTCTGTAACGTCGCCAACCGCTCAGTGATCGCTGCACCGTCTTCACGTGCAAACTGTTGTATTCTCGGAGAAAAAAACTAAACGGTAAGACGCACCTTCAAGAAGATCGCCACGTTTTTRATCTTTTTCTTGACGGGGGTGAGAACTGTGGCAGCTTCTTCCTGTAGGACAAACATGTCAGGTTCAAGAAAACTAAATAAAAAYGTAAAACTGGTCATTTTCACTCAATCATAAAGTATAAAACTATTCATTTATAATAAAAAATCTAAACCATAATAAAACTCAACATCTGAGTCATTCATCCTTAAAAGCTCAAGTTTGGTCCAAAATATTACATTATGTTAAACAACAGAAAATATGTAGATTTATTTTATTAAAACAGATTATAGTATCTTGTTTTCGTAATGCCTCTCAAACATCTCAAACCTTTAGTTTTTATCATTCTACACGGTAAGAGCTGTATTTTACGGAGCCCGCGAGGGGACATGGGGGATTTTTTTTCCTTTTGCGTTCCCACGCAATACTTTTGCGTTACCTCGCAATACTTTTGCGTTACCTCGCAATACTTTTGCGTTACCTCGCAATACTTTTGCGTTACCTCGCAATACTTTTGCGTTACCTCGTAATATTGTTTTGCGTTCCCACGCAAAAGTTTGTTTTCAATATGAACTGATTTAAATCAGACTTTTATTTTGAAATATCAGGTTACCAAAACAGGATGTGTCGGCACAAGTTCGTGAAATTGACATTGATGTTGTGTGGCTGCACTGTGTTAAAATATCAGCATATGACATACTTCCATGCGTAGTTGTGTGATATATTCATTCTGAAGCTGAATTAAAGCAGAAGGCTAACTCGCTAAYGGTGAACATGTGAGTTTGTTAATAAATCGGCAGGCACAACTGTGAAAAACTACTTTTGCGAGGGAACACAAAAGAAAAACAATCTCCCGTGTCCYCTCGCGGGCTCCGTAGTATTTGACACCAACACAAGAACAAAACATCATCCTGGCTCAGCTGTGTRAACTCAGCTGCTGCTCCACAAACAACTGATGGGAAAATGTTTACAAAGTGACCGTTTTTATTATTTTCTGCCTTTAAAAAAGCTCCTGTTTGTTGGTTTAGTTTGTGGTAAAAGAAAAGAAAAAAGTAAAGTCTCATCAAGGTAATCCAGAGAAATAAAACCGTTCCCACCTCATTGATCTGAATGGTGTCTCCGATGAACAAGGCRTATTTCTGCTCCTCTTTCTTGCCGTCTTTATTCACGAGGTCAGAGAAACCCAAGCTGATGCTCAGCACCATGCCTGCAGACACAAACACGCAGCACGAGGTCAACGTTTATCTCTGAACGTCAAAAAAAAAAAAAAAAAAAGAAGAAGAAATATTTGGTGTGAAGAACCGGTTGAGACGACAGCCTCACCTTTTTTTAGTTTGTACTGGTTTTTAGCATTCAGGACCAAGGATCCTTCTCTGAACTCGATGCCCATCGCAAAACTGTGAAGAAAAATATAGATCTGAGAGCTGGAATACGTCCACACAGACTGTGTGTGTTTGTTTCTGCTACAGAGTCAAGACCCCGTAGCTCCTCTACAGCACGGCTCGACTTGGCTCTCTACGGTTCCAAGACTTTTCCTCTAGCAAGGATTCGTGGAACCAGACCCTTTTTCAGAACGTACTTCTCYGTGGTTCCAAGTGTACTATGCTGGTCTGAAAACACAACTCCAAAAGACTGCTGGTCACTGACTGGTTAGGGGGTGGAGTCACTGGTTGTGTCACAAGAGCTACTCTCACAACAACCTGATCCACCATTTGCAATAAAACACTACCACGTCCATATTGTTGTATTGTGTATCTGGTCAGGTAGGTACTGGGGTTAGGATTGCACGACACATTGGCATCAACATCTGTACTGGTCTGGTAAGTAAAACTTGGCCAATATTAATGCCAGACATGGTTTTTCCACTTTTTTTTTTTTGCTTTGTGTTTGTTTTGGGAGGTGAAATGGTCGAGTGGTATCTGTTTGATCATGATAGTGATGCTGCACAGCCAGGAACAACTGAAGTAGAGAGCCATGTCAGCGGTCTGGTTGTTTTTTTATGGTATCAAAAAAAGACAAGTTTGTGTGGTATGCTGGTGTGGATTCTCAGTTATCCAGGTCACGATCAATCAAAAAAGAAAGTTAAAAACACAAACAACTGGACTTTCAATTCTAAAGTTCAAGACGTTTCGCTTCCCATCCAGGAGGATTTTTTTAATTCAAAGTCTGTAGTGAGCTGAGATTCTGGCTTTAATAGATCCACCTGAGAAGCCCTGTGAGGATTCACATGTGGTCACACAGGGCCGATTGGCTCCAGCGTGATTTACATGTTTATCCCAGTCCTCACAGGGCTTCTCAGGTGCATCTATTAAAGCCAGCATTCTCAAAGTCGAACAGCCGGGTACTTTGTCACATGACCAAGTTGTAGACAGAGGCTGACATATTGTTTTGGGGGAAAATAGGATGAGTTCCTCTTTGTGGAAAATAGGAAAACGGTGAAAGGTTGCTGTAGGACTGCACTTCTCATGTAAAAAAACACCCAKAGAGAAAATATTTGTTTTTTCTAACTGCAAGAGTGAGGGGAGAGAAATAAGACAGGTGTTGTCRTTCTGCCTCAGCAGACCTCAGTGCTTCTCCTTGTTTAAAAAGAATTGCCACATTGGTTTGAAAAACACACTAAACTTGGCTAAAATGAAGAGTAAACACTCAAAACTACACACTAACYATAAAATCCAAACATGTTATAAGTCACAGATCTAATTAAAGTCCTGCTCTCACCAGCTCTTTATTGCCGCCAATCTCCATTCAAATTTCGCCTCTTTTTATTTTCTTCTTCCTGTAGATTTTTTACTGTTTGTCAGATGACTGAGCCTCAGTCAAAAAGGAGGTCTGGGGGGTTACATTTTTTCGGTTTAAGAGAAAGATGAGACTGACGATGGACAACGGTGTTTTTTCCACGAGATTACTGTGTTTCCTGTTCCCTTCAGCTGCAAAGCGCTTCAAAATAGAACGTTCATTTTCAGAAAAAAAAAAAAAAAGTAAGATATGCTATTTATCATAACTCTGGTTTTCTTCTCTTGACCTATCGACACAATTTAAAAACTACTGTATAGTTAGCTGTAAGTCTTTACTTTTGACACATAATTTGTAACAGAATGAGTTTTCCTCCATACAAAAATGGAGGTTGAAATCACGTGACTGAATGACATCAAGCCGACTTCGAGAATCTCAGCTCACTACAGACTTGGAATTTAAAAAATCCTCCTGGATGGGAAGCGAAACGTCTTTAACTTTAGAATTGAAAGTCCAGTTGTTTGTGTTTTTAACTCTTTGTTTGTGTGAAATGTGTAAATATTGGTTGAAATTTTCATCTTTAACAGGGTTAACTGGTTAGTTTTAGGGTACAGGGTTAGGCTATAAAAGAGACTGAAAAATGAATGGAAGTCGATGCTAAGTCCCCACGAGGATAGAAAAGCAAGCGTAAGAGTGTGTGTGTGTGTGTGTGTGTGTGTGTGTGTGTGTGTGTGTGTGTGCGCATGCATGCATGCGTGCATGTACCCAAGGTTTTTGGTCAGCTTTGACACGAGCTCTGACTTTTCTTTCTTCACGTACTCCAAAACTGTGTTGTAGGCGTCACAGATTTTTACACCTAAGAGACAAAAGATCTTATTCAGGTTTCAGGACAAACAAACAAAAACAAACATCAGCAGCTTAACAAACAAACATCAGCAGCTTAAATCTGAGGACAACAAAACACTTCAGAAACAACTAACCAGATTTGTAACGACAGTAATGAGACCTCGCTGTTTCGACCCTGAACTCACCGTGCTTCAGCTCCTTCAGCAGCTCCTCCTCCACCTGCAGCAGGAAGTTGTAGTTGTCCTGCATCTCCTGGGTGGGGTCCACCATGAGCGTGCGCACCAGGTTGGAGCAGTACGACTTGTAGCGGATCCCCATGGCACACGTGATGGCGCCGAAGTGCATGTGGTTCTTGTCGCTGGAAGGTGGAGGCAAACAGAGCGACTGGTGAAGAAAAGCCACCCGTCCATCTAYTTCCTTTACCCACTCCTCTGGTCAGAGTGGTGGAGCAGCTGGTCCCTCTACCCTGTGCTCACCACGTTTTATTCTTTGGGTCACAAGTCAAACAGCCACTGTGTTTAGCTACAAAATCCCAACTCCCCCAATTTAACAAAACAGATTATTTTATTTAAATTCTATAAAGATTTATATATCATCACTTCATTTGAATAAACTTTGTCTTCATTACAGGCCCAATGTTTGATTATAGTGACACCTGGTGGCCATAAAAACAAACTGCAGCCAGTTTAAAACCGTAAGGCAGGGAGAGAGAGTGAGAAAAACACAAAAACAAGTGAATTCATCCCGTAAAGACTAAAAAAGGAGGAAGATTTGAAGCCTTTTGGGATGGAATTTGTTCATTTAAAAAAATAAAAACTTATTTCTCTGCTTGGTTACATTAAACAACAAAAACAACAAGTTTTCAGGGTTCTAGGCTGCAACATGTTTTTTTCCTCATTTATGTCTGGTTTACAGACTTATCTATTTATAAACAAAGTACCATGAAGATCCTGTAGTGACACACAAAACATCAAGGGTTTTCAGAGTTTTGTTTACAAATAAAATTCTGAAAAATATAAATCGAAACAAATTATTTGATGCTTGTGTGTCCCACAGCTTACTGCCTTGATCAAGACTTTAGAGTACAAAATGCTGCTGTTTCTTTAGAAAAACAAACCATTCTGTGATTTTATTCTGACTGAACACCTTGCAATAACAACAACAACAACGAGAAAGTCTTTGCAGTAAACTTCAGCGCTTGATATCCTCCAGCTGCAGCTTTGAGACAAACACCTTCAGGGTTACGACCCGACGACTCAGCTGTTTCAGAAAACCATTATTTGATATTAAAAACCTTGGCATGATAAACATGATTTTGCCCATTTTGTCACATAACTGGCCTATTTTCTTTTGGATTTGGATCAGCCAAAGTGTAACAGGAAGTGACATCAAAGGGGAACTCATTGATAAAATAAACTCTGTTTATTAAAACAGTATCATTTAAACTTTAACTCTTCATTATCTGTGTTTGATAAAGACTCAAAATAATTTAAAACATCAGATTCTTCTCTACAGTCTGTTATCAGCTGTTGTAACAATGCTCCGTTTACATACAGAC